GAACATCCATAATATAATATATTTATAACATTCCCCCTTGGATGTTCATTAAAAGATAGTGTGCCTCATTAAAACCTTACTAGAAAAATCCCCGTGGGAAAAAAATTCTAGTGAAGGAAAAAGAGTGCAAATATTTAGTAATACGCATTGCTAGGTGCCTCATTAAAAACCTTATAAGGAAAACCCTGTGGGAAAAAACCTTAGTAAGGAAAAAAGAGTGCATCGCGTATTTTACTCCCCCTGATGAAAATCTTGTTTCAAATATTTGAGTCTCTTCATTCTAATCTTGTATCTGCATAACCAGTACGATCTGCACCACCTTTGTTAGCATTAGCAAGATACATAAGTGCATAGCAATTGCACTGAGATAGAGTATTTTAGGACCAAGGTGTTCCTCATCCTCTTCTGGAGGTCGGAACGGATCCTTATTCACTTCAAGTGATCGAACACCCATTGGTGTACTTAGTGGGTGCGCTTTGTCCATGTAAAAGCGTTTAAAGACCCTTTCTGTATAGGCAAATTGATGGATAAAGATCTCGTCTGCTAAATATTTAATTTGCAGACCAAGATAAATTTTTATTTTTCCAAGATCTTTCATCTCAAATTATTTCTTAAGATATTCAATTGCCTTTGGAGCTCTTCTGGAGTTCCAACAAAATTTATGTCATCAACGTAAACAGCAAGTGTAACAAATTCTGATGACATTTTTTTTTATAAAAATACATGGACAAATAACATCATTTATGTAACTTTCTTTCAGCAAATATTCACTGAGGCGATTATATCACATGCGCCCAGATTGATTTAAACCGTACAATGATATTTATAATCTGATCGAGTACATTTCTCGAGACTTTGAACTATATGCTTCAGGCATTTTAAATCCTTCAGGGATCTTTATAGAGATTTAATCAAATGAGTCATATAGGTTATGACTTGCATTTAAATGGCATAACATCTTCAGGTGTCTGGACTACTGGTCCGATCCTCACAATATTTCACAGTATTGTGCACAATATTGTATCAAATATATCGTCGACGATCATTTTGTATTGGTTCCTAAGCGACATAACTTGTTAAGATCTCATCACTTTCTTTATTTTCAGGTACCTGAACTTCTTCTGGAGTTTCATGAAATGTTATGTCGTGGGCTCTTCTAGAGCTCATTTCCTCCTCATTATGATCATTTTGATCATTTGCTCCTATCATTTTTCAAGGATTGTTACCTTTGGAACCGATCGATTTACTACGCTTCATGCGTGCAGTAAACTTTATCCTTCAGGGACTTTAAATTTTAATAGGAGCATTTGCAGCTGAAATATGATATTTGATTTTGGATCAGCAAATGCTTCTGGCATTTGTCTTGAATTATCTTCTAAGTGAGGATCATATTAATGATAATTCGATTCATATAGCATATTTTTCAGTTGTTTATTCCATTCCCCAAATGTTAGAAAAACTAACATATATCCCCAATCTTCTTTGGGAAACATATCTTTGTGCATTGTGGTAGAGAAATTAATCATATACCACACATCAAAAGATAGTAAAATATTTGGTTTCTGATCCTAAACCAATTGTGAGGGGAGGACTTATCATATATTGTTGGTCTGATGCATATAAGTGTTGCTATATGCAATTTAGAAAATCTTAGACCAACACATGAAGCTTTGTTCTCATAAACAATAGTTTAGCCATTAATAGGAGGTATTCACTGCTAAACTAGCTTGTATATAAACCAGCATTATCAAGATGAACTGTCTTGATTTCATAATCTGAAAATTATGCTCTTAAGTGAGAAAAGCAATTTCAAATGCCAAACTGCAGGTTGACAATAAACATACATGTAACCATCTTATATATGCATCTATAAGTGGTTCACATGATAGGTGAATGGGCCCATATTCACCTTTTATATATTTCAGAATCAGGGGTCTTAGTCCCAACTTTAGCTGGTATAATCAATTTATTATGAGAACAAGCAACACAGGAGAATTCTTGAAGAATCTTCTAGTTCTTCAGTATATGCTTATCTGAATTCTCAAATAGCTCATTTAAAAATGGCAAATGAAAACTTCAAGTTTATCATGGCATGTGCTATCTCTTAGTAAACTTCTGGTTTACTATGACATAAACTTTTGCATTAGTAAACTTCTGATTTACTGTGGCTACTTTTGTATTAGTAAACTTCTGGTTTACCGTGATACATGATGTAGTACAAATCGAAGAATAAGGCGGGTAACTTCTCATATACATATTATTTTACCCCCTATGATTGTGGAAACATGAAGATTTTCAATCTTCCAATCATTTATAGTCTCAATATGATAGCCATTTATTTTAGTAAACTTCGGGTTTACTACAACATATGTTTTGACCATAATCATATAATATGAATGACATATTTGTAAATAAGCTCTTCGAGAGCCTTCATTTATTATCCACAATCTAATATTTATCGGACACTACTGGTGTCATGTGTCTTCTAGGCAAACAGTTAGCTCTTCAGGAGTTGTTGATACATTTTGTACTATCAAATATTGCTCAGACACTTCTGGTATCATAAGAGAAAATCACAATCAAATAAACAATTGTTTAAGCACAAGAAAACTCCTCTTCATAATATTTTCCTACTTCAGGAGGCAATTTCAATTGTATTACTTCTTCAGGAGCAAATTTAAAATACGAAATATTGAGTATATATTCTCTCAATTATATTACCTCTTCTGGAGGTGAATTGTAATATATTTACATCAAGAGCGCGTTCATATTTACCAGATTTATTAATATTGTCACATTCACTTCAGGGAATGGATTATTATTATCAAAAGTTCTCATCCTTCAGGAAAATCGAACATAATTATCTGAATGCGCATTAATCACATCAAATTGTGATGCCTCAACCTCTTTTAAAATATTTACTACTTCAGGAGCAAATCGAGGCGTGCATTTAATATAGAGAATATTTATGTAGCTTATCTTCAATTGTAACCATAGAAAGCCTAAATTATCACTTCTGGTGATCATAGGCATATACCACTTCTGGTGGTTAACAAAATATAATTACAATGAGATATACGAAATATAACCACTTCTGGTGGTTGTATATTTCTTGCAAACTCTGCTAGAGTTTAAGTTGATCTAATAATGTTATCCATATTCTTCAAAATGACATAAATAAGATATATTATAGTAAACATCATTATCAAATCATAATTTTTCTTTATGTACAACAATTACATAACCATACTATCTATTACAAACAACAAAAATTAAAATATTTACATTTCTACAGATTCACCACCGATCACATGACTTGTTTCTCCATCTGGGAGTGCAAGGTAATCAGCTACATCTAAATGCATGAAGTCTAAATTATCTTCAGAAATAAAATTTGCTTCAGCATTTTTCTCAGTCTTCTTTAGGGAGGCTTGATAAAGCTCAACCAGGTGCTTTGGCGTACGACAAGTACGTGACCAGTGCCCTTTTCCTCCACATCTATAGCATGCATTTTCTGCATTTGGTGCTTGCACCGCTTCATGCTTTTGTTCCTTCCTTTTCCACTGCTGGTGGTGAGGAGGGTTCTTTGGTGCATTATTATTACCATGATTAAAGTTTCTTCCCCGACCACGGCCATGACCACGACTGGGGCCACGACCTCTTCCACGCTTAGCTTGGTGGAAGTTCGTCTCATTCACTTCAGGGAATGGACAAGAACCAGTAGGTCGGCTTTCATGGTTTTTCATTAATAGCCCATTATGTTGCTCGGCTACAAGAAGATGTGAGATAAGTTCAGAATACTTTTTAAATCCCATCTCTCGATATTGCTGCTGCAGGAGCATATTCGAGGCATGAAAAGTGGTGAAAGTTTTCTCCAACATATCATGATCAGTAATATTATCACCACATAATTTCAATTGGGAAATAATTCTGAACATAGCAGAATTATACTCACTGATAGATTTAAAATCTTGTAGCCTTAAATGAGTCCAGTCATAACGTGCCTGTGGAAGAACGACCATCTTCAGGTGGTCATATCTATCTTTCAAATTATTCCACAGTATGACTGGATCTTTAATAGTAAGATATTCCATTTTCAGGCCCTCATCAAGGTGATGGCGTAGGAATATCATTGCTTTGGCACGGTCTTGGTTTGATGCCTGATTTTTATCCTTGATGGTGTCTGCTAGACCCATCGCATCAAGATGAATTTCAGCATCAAGCACCCAAGACATATAGCTTTTGCCCGATATATCCAGGGCTACAAATTCAAGTTTAGAAAGATTTGACATTATATAGAAAAAGAAAGTTCGTACCTCAGATACTTTCAAAGTATTTGCTCGAGATGGCAGAGTCTCGTGCTGATAACGTGTTATAAAATAAAGACTGTAAACTAAAGACAAGTATAGAGAGAAACTGATATATTATTCGAATTCAAACTGATGTACATAATGAACTGAAAACTCTTCTATTTATAGAAGAAAGGAAGCTGCTGTGTAAGCTGCTACTGCAAGCTGCTGTGTAAGCTGCTACTACAACCTGCTGTGTATGCTACTGCAAGCTGCTGTGTAAGCTGCTACTACAAGCTGGTGTGTAAGCTGCTACTATACCAGATATGGATAATCTTATACTAAGAGTAATGTTTATCCATAACGGAGTACTGAAAGGATAAGCTCATTATACCCGGTATGGATAATCTTCTACCGGGGGTAGTGTTTATCCATAACGGAGTATCGAAAGGATAAGCTTATTATACCCGGTATGGATAATCTTCTACCGGAAGTAATATTTATCCACAACCGGGTACCGAAGTGATAAGCTTCTTCAGGAGGCTTATTTCCAATAGAGTACTAAATAGATAAACATATTTACGGCGGAGCCCCATATGAATAAACTTCTTCAGGAAGCTTATTTACAACGGAGTATGAACCTCCATAATATAATATATTTATAACACTTAAAACCCTTCTTACCTAAAAAAAAACCTCAATTTCCACGCTGTTTCTTTTCTGGCCTAGTTGGGATCTTCGTCTTCGCATATATAAAGAGGGCAAGACCCCAAATTGAGTTGGTAATTCGTATAATTCTGCAGTTGTTGGTTTTGCTTCATAAGTTGTAAGTCTCTTCCCCCCTTTCCCCCACTCAGTTCCGCTGCATGAAACATCTTGTATATATTAAAAAAAAAATACATTTTTTATTTGTATGTGTAGATAGATGATGTAGTTTCGCTTCTCCATTTACTTTCATGAATTTTAGCTCGTGACTCTCTTAACTTTCTTGATATCTAATCTTTAAGTTTCTTTGTTTTTTACCCTTTTGTTCTGTACCGTTTTTTGTGTGTCAGCATGACTAACTGCATGAACATCCGCTTTCTAGTAGAATTAATCGTTGAGTTTGATTCTCCAAATAATTTAATGGATTAAAAAGGGTATTAAACTTCTGTAATGCCGTTGATTTAGTGCCTAGTGCTTCTCGGTTTGAAAGGTGGGTTTTTGAATTTTGGGTTTGATGAGGTTATGTAGGTTAAAAAGTTACTTTTCTTGAGAATTGACAGGAAACTGCAACGTCACCATCAATTGGTGGGATATGGCTTTTGTTACTGTTGGCATATCAATGATAAAAATTAAAATTTGGGTGTTTCTGAACTCATGATTCTTGAATTTTGTTTTGGGTTTATCAAGAGTTTATCACGTTTTCTTGTTCTTCTCAAAAACAAAACATTCCTCCCTAAGTCCCTGTCTTCCACATACTATACCTACCCGGAAAAAAAAGGTTGCTCCCAATTGATCTGTTGTCTTAGTAAATGCAAAACCAGGGAAAAACTGAATTATAATCTCTAAATTATTGCTCATTTTGACAAATTTCCTGAAGCGTTGTAGTCTTTTCTACTAGAATCTGAAAAATCCCTAAATTGCTGGTTAATGTAACAAAGACAAGTATGATTTGCTCCAATTTATTTGGATATTCTTTTGGGCAAGTTTCGTGGGTTAATATGTGGACATGTTGTGGATTAAATACTCTTAATATTGTTGTTATGCTGTCTTTGCAGAATATGGGCAATTTGTTGTGTTGTGTTCAAGTTGATCAATCCACAGTTGCAATTAAGGAGCAATTCGGCAAGTATCAGGATGTGCTTGAGCCAGGTTGCCACTGTGTGCCTTGGTTCCTTGGAAGCCAGTTGGCTGGTCATCTCTCCCTCAGAGTGCAGCAACTAGATGTGCGCTGCGAAACCAAGACAAAGGTCTAATTTTTCCTGTCTCTGATTTACTTTGGCTTGAAATAACTAAGTTAGCATCATATACGAATATCAAAGTTACTACGATTTACTTGTTACTTGTTGAATGGAAACAGTAGATGTAAGTTTGAAATTTATGAGTTATAGCTGATGCATTCATTGCAATAATATTCAGGACAATGTATTTGTCAATGTTGTCGCATCAATTCAGTATCGTGCCCTGGCGGACAAAGCAAATGATGCTTTCTACAAACTAAGTAACACTAAGGGTCAAATTCAGGCTTATGTTTTTGATGGTCGGTAACTGAGCTTTCACTTTATTTATATCTGATGATTTATTTCATGCATTGGTTTTTGTTCGTTTATGACCATCTAACTTAATATTGATACAATTAAATAAGATATGACAGATTTTTTGACTTGTCTGTGCTTTATTTCATCAGTCATAAGAGCAAGTGTTCCAAAACTCAATCTGGATAATGTCTTTGAGCAAAAAAATGAAATTGCTAAGGCTGTTGAGGAGGAACTTGAGAAAGTAAGTGAATTTCTTGATGAATTTTCATTGATATCATTGATGTGGATCATTAATTGGATCATATAAGTGCTTTCTTGCTCTTTTACAGGCTATGTCAGCTTATGGATATGAAATTGTTCAGACACTTATAGTTGATATAGTACCAGATGAGCATGTGAAGAGGGCTATGAATGAAATCAACGCTGGTATAAATAAATTCTTTTACTCTGATTAAGTCTACCTTACACGCTTACTGTTTCTCAAATGCTCTAATAGAAAGGAATATACATTCCAGTTGAGGGATTTTCCATGTACCATTATAGCGATCTTCTTGTGGATAAAAATATTTAAATATGGATCAAAACATTGCAGTTTTACTAATTGTAGTTACATCTATGTCTTCCAGCTTTTGTTCTGGATAATATTTGGTGTGTAGACAGAGACGGCAATTCGAGGATTTTAGTCTTTCCAAATGCAAAATTTTGACACTCTTGTTTAGTTTTCCTTATTATTTTCTTGTCCTAACTATCTTCCAACTCTACAGCTGCTCGGTTGAGGGTGGCTGCTAATGAGAAGGCAGAAGCTGAGAAGATTTTGCAAATTAAGAGGGCTGAAGGGGAGGCCGAGTCTAAGTATCTCGCAGGCTTAGGTATTGCACGACAACGTCAAGCAATTGTGGATGGTCTGCGAGACAGTGTGCTAGGATTTTCAGTCAATGTGCCAGGAACTACTGCTAAGGATGTTATGGACATGGTCCTCGTAACCCAATACTTCGACACCATGAAAGAAATTGGTGCTTCCAGCAAATCATCTGCTGTCTTCATCCCCCACGGGCCTGGTGCTGTAAGAGAGGTGGCACAGCAGATCCGTGATGGACTTCTTCAGGCTTCTGTTGAGCGTTGAATACTTATTGCTCATGAATGTTAAACGGGTTTCACATCAAGCAAGCTTTTGTTATTTTGAGTCTTTTCTTTCTTAAATATGGAAATATGTGGTGACTTTGATTTTGTTAGAGATTGGTGAATCCCAATACTATCTATGTTTATAATCGGATTGTGAGGTTTTGAATATTTACAGAAGAAATTTTTAAAGAATTTTCAAGAAGTTCTACAGCAGCACATACTTTTGCAGCTACCATGATCCGATACTCTTTGGCAGAAGTAACTCATTTTCAAAAATTTTGGTTGCCCAAATTCTGTCTTTCATATCATAGCACCAGAACACTCATCTGTAAGAGCCCCATGCAATATTTACATGGCACATTGCTTGGTATTTTTATTTTGACTCACCTTAGTTAGGTATTTTGATTTACAATCAGGCATCCTTGTGAATTTGACGTCTTAGGTTCTACTTACTAATCCTTGACTTTGGATCATATTTTGATTAATGTGAGAGGAGATGAATTTCCTCCCAAAATACTAGGAATGGCTCGAAATCTGTAATGCCTGTTGTTACTTCTACAATGGAGTAATTCTTTTGAAAAGTAGAGACACTGATATAAATAGCACACCAAAAAAGACAAAAGTTGCTAACTTGTGGCCTTCAAATTCAAGCTATGTAGAGTCTTTCTACTTCAAAACATCTGGCAGTTAGTATCATATAAACCATAAGCTACATTGTGGGAGGGTTCTAAACATTACTGATGTCTCTCTTAGGTTTTCTTCCTCTTTAACCATGTAAAGTTAGTCTCGTAGTCTTAGGTATCACCCAATGAAGCCCAAAATAATTAAACACACACCAAATCTCAGAGGCTGTAGAGCAATGAAAAAAAGAGATGAGTCAGGATTTCTGTCATATTTTTCACACATATGTGCTATATGATTCCCCTATTGCATAAATACGATTCCCCTAAAGCAATCCATCCGAAACAAGCAACTTTGAGGAGGGATTCTAGTTCTCGAGGAGAGAAACCTTGGCATGTAGTATTACCATTAGCAACTAGTTTCCAGTACACCTTTTATAGCGTCAACCATTTTCATGCTTAAGAGTTTATTATCTTCAAACATGCAGTTTATAACAAGTACAGAGTGATTCTAGAATGTGGGACTTTGTTTGCATTAATAGGTCATATATAGGAAATCCTCGAAGATAATATGCCCCTGAGAGAGACTGTTGCTGTCTTTGTTGTGACTTGTGACTCAGACCTTAAGGGAGAGTGAAACCCCCAGTGAAGCAGTGCTTATGGCATCCATGACATTCATCTCTGCTCCAATTGTCAGACACAGTCTTGAGAGAAGATCGTGTTGAAAAAGAGTAGCCAAACTGCCATCACTTGCAACTCGAGCTTTAATCAGCATAAAAGGAAACGGGGAATGCTGGGCTCCCAGGGTAACAGTCGTTTGTTTGCTGGAGAATTGATACATTAGCTCCGCTGCAATCCCTGTGTGTGTTAAGGGTAGAATTTGACGGTAAGCAAGAGCTCTCAAAGTGTCAGCTTTATCGCTCCTGCATCAGAACATTGAGCATTCTTGCAACAGAAATGCTAGTACTAAATCTATATTGAAAATTCACCCTACTTTATTTATCAAAATGTGATTCAAATTTCTAAAAAAAAAAAAAGAAATTAAATCCTGCTGGAGAAGATTTACAAGGTGAGTGAAGCAGTGAGAATGTTAGTATTGAAGCTCAAACCAGCATCGCATTTGGCCACTGTATCAGTTGCTGCGTCAAGTGAGATATCTGTTCCAGTGTTGAAAAAACCATTTCCAATGACACCAGAAAAACTTATCAGGGGGCTTTTTGTCAAACTAATGCCTGCTGTATACCCAAAATAATCACGCAAGTACTGCATTTCCACCTGTTAATACATATATAGGCATAAGAAAGGTAACAGAATTGTAATGTCAAAGAAAGGAAAGAAATTCTCACCTTATTAGACCTCTGATATGGTAAATAGAACTTGAGAAGTGCCCTTATTTCCTGTCTAGGTACGCTGGCTCTAACTACAGTAATCGCAGAATGATCATACAGTAACTTTGAGAAAGCAGAATATAAGGAAATTGAAGAAATAACAATAGATACCTCCACTGCTGAGGTTTAAGCTCCAATCTAACCAATTGAAGTGATAGCAAATTGGCGGCTGCATGTTATAATCTCCATACAGAAGATCTGATATAAACAAGTAACATTATCAGATCCTCAATAAAATATACAAAGGTACAGATTCCATTAATTTACCTCACCAACACATGCCTATATATACAGAGAGGAAAGACAACTATATTCTAATTAAACGATTTCCAGCAGTCAAGCGTAACAAAAATCAAAAGCGGGAGAAATAAATGATAGTAAGTACCTGTTGCATCTTTGCCAATATCAGAATAGATCCCTGGCTGCTTGCTCATTTTTTCCCCTGGCCCAAAAATTGAGATCCTGAACTGTTAATTGATCCTTCCTTTTTAAAATTATATTTGAATTTGATATCTGCAAGCAAGGTAATAACAAGACAAAAACGAAGCTTCCTTTTGAATCGAGATTTCATGCTGAGGAAGCTTCCATAGGAATGATGGTACAACAGAGAAGATTTTTGCAAAATTTCACATAAATGACATTTCATGGTGACGAGGAGGAGCAAATATTGAGCTTTTCGTTACAAAAAAGTGTAAAAATTCTTCAAACAATGTGCATTTTGACTTCCATAATAACCTCTAGAAACATTTTAAGACTTTTGCTTAATCTCTTTGCTTTGGCACTTCTCTGAATTCACATTATTAGATTTCCTGCATATTTCTGCAGATCGATGAATGTTTAATTTATGGCAGTAAAGACGAACAGTAAGCACCTAGAATAACTTCCTTGAGAAGAACTGATGGAATCACATACAGCAGAAAGTGTTATTACACTGTATTTGTAAAATAATTATTCTGGAAATATAAATGAATATAAACAGAAATTAACATAAACAGAAATGACAGAAAACCAATTCGAGCCCACTGAATTCACAGTATTTCCTTAAGGAATTTAATCCCCTCCTAGTACCCAAGGTTATGGATTATTTCCTCCCAGGATAGAACGAATTACACACTGGTGTAGTGGTACTTCAAACCCCAGTATTTTAGCGAACACAAAGTTAGGTAGCAAATCATACTTGCTTTTGCTTTGTTTGATGCTAAAAGTATGCAGAAGAAGGAGAAGAAACTCAGAAAATCGTAGTGAAATTCTGAGCAGAATAGTGTTGTATTTATAGCCAAAGTTGGGCTGAAATCTGAAGAGGTGCAACTCTTCAGAATGGCTGTTTCTGCAAAAATGTCATTACATAAATGGCTATTTACTCAACAATAAAGAGGGAAAATAAAGAGAGAAAATTGAAGGGTAGTTAATTTTCTGTTACCAAAACAGAAAAAACGGATTGGAGGATTTAATATTAATAACATTTCTGTTAATATATTACTATTAACAAATAAATTTGGTCCAAAAAGCTAATCAATCAATCATTTGAACAAATCCGAATCCGAAGCCGAATCCAAATCCGAATCCGAATCTGAAGCCGAAGCCGAAGTCGAAGCCGAGCCGAGCGAGCGTCGGCGGAGACGGCGCGAGGCTTGCCTTCTTCTCAACACTTTAAGAGCTAGAAGAAGAGCAATTGCTTATATACCCATAAAAAACCTCTTCCTCTTCCAATATGGGACAATGTCCATTTACCAAGGGGGGAAACTTAAAATTTCACTCAAAAATTTCATTTCTCTCCATTTCCCATTCACCCTCTTTTATGTATTTAATATATTAAATACAAAAAAAATCCAAAAATCCCGCACATGAATGGGGAATGGCTATATCACGGAAGTATGCATGAAAAACTGTGTGATTCGCAAGTAAGGATTAATTGCATCTAGATAAGTAGGTTTCCCTTTGAACTTTCCGTAGTGAACTTATGTCGGATATACTCGATCAATCGGTAGATTTGATATCTTTGAACCGTCGAACTTTGGTGTATACCTAGACAACCACAAGTCACACAACCAACCCTTAACCGTCTTTGGTTCTCATTGTTGTGTTCGTTTCAGCCATGAACACCGCCTGGTTTCATAAGTGCGTAGAGAACTGGCCTTACAAAGTTCTCCTTGAAGCGGCTAACACTTCACACTTACATAGGTGATTCCTAAATGTGTCATCCCGTAGATACACTATTTGATATACCCCGTATCAAATTTAGAAATCATTAAAAAGCCTTAATGCTTTATCCTTGGTACTGAACATTGTCTCACGAGAATGGACCAAAAGTTTAGTTGACAATGTTGAACCGTCATTAATGACTTTGTTTGATCTCCTTGAACCTAGATCTTGGGATCTCGAGTCTTCTAGGTAGAGTTACCGCCACTATGACTTGTTCTCTGCCACAGTCCCATTCCCCTTGATGACTTCTCAACTACCTCTCTAGTTAGGCCTTTTGTAAGTGGATCCGCCACATTATCACTTAACTTTACATAGTCAATCGTGATAATTCCTCTAGAGAGTAATTGTCAAATGGTTTTATGTCTTCGTCGTATATGACGAGATTTACCGTTATATATAATGCTCCCAGCCCTTCCAATTGCCGCTTGACTATCACAATGTATGCAAATTGATGCTAACGGTTTGGGCCAAAATGGAATATCTTCCAAGAAATTCCGGAGCCATTCAGCTTCTTCACCAGCTTTATCTAAGGCTATGACTTCAGCCTCCATTGTAGAGCGGGCAATACAAGTTTGTTTGGACGACTTCCAAGATACCGCTCCTCCACCGATAGTGAATACATATCCACTTGTGGACTTGAAATCAGTTGATCCGGTGATCCAATTTACATCACAGTATCCCTCAATGACCGCAGGATATTTACTGTAGTGCAAAGTAAAGTCCTGGGTATGTACTAAATACCCCAAAACTCATTTCATGGCCATCCAATGAGATTGACCTGGATTGCTCGTATATCGACTCAATTTACTTATAGCACAAGCTATATCTAGTCGTGTACAATCATGATATACATTAAGCAACCCAACACACGAGCATAATCCAATTGTGATATGCTTTGGCCTTTGTTCTTTGCTAATGCAAGATTCACATCAATTGGAGTCTTTGCAACTTTAAAGCCCAAGTGCTTGAATTTTTCAAGTACTGTCTTAATATAATGAGATTGTGACAATGCCAGTCCTTGAGAAGTCTTATGGATCTTAATTCCCAGAATTAAATCAGTAACTCCCAAGTCTTTCATATCAAACTTGCTAGTTAGCATACGCTTAGTAGCATTTATGTTGGCAATGTCATTACTCATTATGAGCATATCATCCACATATAAGCAAACAATGACTATGTGATTTGAAACATTTTTAATGTACACACATTTATCATATTCATTTATCTTAAATCCATTTGACAACATTGTTTGGTCAAATTTCGCATGCCATTGTTTGGGTGCTTGTTTTAATCAGTAAAGGGAATTAACAAGTATACAGACCTTCTTTTCTTTACCTGGAACCACAAACTCTTCAGGTTGTTCCATGTAGATTTCTTCCTCCAACTCTCCATTTAAGAAGGCCGTCTTAACATCCATTTGATGAATTTCAAGATCATAAACTGCAGCTAACGCTACTAACGTTCGTATGGACGTAATTATTGTAACTGGAGAGTATGTATCAAAATAGTCAAGACCTACTCGTTGTCTATACTCTTTGACCACAAGTCTTGCCTTATATTTGTCAATAGTGCCATCATTTTTTATTTTCCTCTTAAAGATCCATTTAGAACCCAACGGTTTATTTCCAGGAGGAAGATCAACCAATTCCCATGTATGGTTGTTCAATATGGATTCTATTTCACTATTGACTGCCTCTTTCCATAACTATGATTCCGAAGAAGGCACAGCTTCTTTAAATGTTTGAGGCTCATTTTCCAATAAGAAAGTCACAAAATCTGGTCCAAATGAAGTAGACGTTCTTTGACGTTTACTACGTCTTGGATCCTCCTGGTTAAGTGTACTTTCTTTTGTTTCTTCCCGAGGTCGTTTAGATCCTTCACCAATCGACTCACATTCCTCTTTATACGGATATATATTTTCAAAGAACTCAGCATTATCTGATTCTATAACCATATTATTATGAATGTTGGGATTTTCTGATTTATGAACCAGAAATCGATATGCTTTACTATTAGTCGCATATCCTATGAAAACACAATCAATGGTTTTCGGTCCTATTTTTACCCTTTTGGGTTTAGGAACTTGCACTTTTACCAAACACCCCCACACTTTAAAATAATTCAAGTTGGGCTTCCTTCCTTTCCATTTTCCATATGGAATGGATTGTGTTTTGCTATGGGGTACTCGATTTAGTATTCGGCTAGCCGTAAGAACGGCTTCCACCCACAAGTTCTGTGGCAAACCAGAACTTATCAATAATGCGTTCATCATCTCCTTTAATGAACGATTCTTTCTTTCTGCAATCCCATTGGATTGGGGCGTGTAAGGGGCCGTTGTTTGATGAATAATTCATATTCTAAACATATTTGTTCAAAAGGAGATTCATATTCACCACCTCTATCACTTCTTATCATTTTGATTTTCTTGTTAAGTTGCATTTCAACTTCATTTTTGTATTGCTTGAATGCGTATTGCTTCATCTTTACTATTAAGTAAGTAAACATAGCAATATCGAGTACTATCGTCAATAAAATTTATGAAATACTTCTTTCCACCGCGAGATGGTATTGACTTCATGTCACAAATACCTGTGTGAACTAAGTCTAAAGGATTTGAATTCCTTTCAACCGACTTATAAGGATGTTTAACATACTTAGATTCCACACATACTTGACATTTTGATTTGTCACATTCAAACTTAGGCAATACTTCCAAATTAATCATTTTCCGTAAGGTTTTATAATTGACATGACCCAAACATATATGCCCTAATTCATTTGACTCAAGTAAGTAAGACGAAGCTGAAATTTTATTATTATTTTCAACAACCATTACATTCAGCTTGAAAAGGCCCTCAGTGAAGTAACCTTTTCCTACAAACATTTTATTCTTACTTATTACAATCTTATCGGAAACAAAAACACATTTAAAACCATTCTTAACAAGAAGTCCAGTAGAGACTAAATTCTTCCTAATCTCGGGAACATGAAGGACGTTGTTCAAAGTCACCACTTTGCCGGAAGTCATTTTGAGAAATATCTTCCCCACATCCTTCAATCTTGGCCTTTGAAGCATTTTCCATAGAAATCGTCTCATCGGGTCCAACAGGAGCATAAGTAGCAAAAGCTTCTCTAATAGCACAAACATGACGAGTGGCTCCAGAATCAATCCACCACTCTTTAGGATTGCCCACCAAGTTGCATTCGGAAAGCGTGTCACATAAGTCATCAACATCACCATGCTTTTCAATCATGTTTGCTTGACCCTTCTTCTTGTCTTTCTTCGGAGCAC